GGAATTCTCTTTGCGGTGACCAACGAGAGATTGTCATGATATTACGATCAGAAAGACCTGCATGAGACCATAGGGTTATGCCTGTGGCACTGACACAAGTCAAAATTTGGAACTTCGTCTTCAAAATACATTTTTGGGGGCGTTTTTTTCCTCGAAAGAAACTGTAAATTTTTTATTTTTGAACTTGTACCGGGAAAACACGAAAGTTGTGACGTCACAACTGTGTTTACATACCCTCATGCAAACATGGCTATCAACCAATCACAGCGTGCGTTCTATTTAATTTATTTTATAATTTTCAATAGTGTTTAAACTGATAATGATTATTGGATAGTACTTGGGGCTGTGCCATATACCACAAGTCAATAAGAAGGAAACTTAAACACTGTGAAATAAAGTTATGGAACTGTACTAGCTGACGTTTTGTAGGTTGGTCCTTTGTCAGAGTAAAAGAGAAGTAGAAAAAAAGTAACACGCAGACCCTAGTGAATGATGCAGTCTTGGATGGAAAAACATTGTTCACCCAAAGCCAAAAAGATGATGTATTACAGTGTCACAAGACAAAAAGAAAGACCTCACCCTTAACTAAAAATGTGCGTGTTGTGTGGAGGGTCAGGGTCGAACAGGGTCAGGGTTCAGAGGGCTGAGCGGCACATCCCTACCCCAAACGGGCAAGAGTACCCACTCCCCCCCGGGTTGTGGGGTGGGTAGACCTCACCCTTAATTAAAAATGTGTGTGTTGTGGGGAGGGTAGACCTCACCCTTAACTAAAAATCTCTTAATCCACATGTCTTAAGATTATAGTTCTGTATCTTAAACTTCTATTTATCAGAGGACGAACGAAGTTGCTTCGCATACTCATAACGATACAACAGATCTTGAAGATATCTAGCAGATAAACCATTCAATACTTTGAAAGATATGAAATCAATCTTAAAAACTATTCTTGTGGAACAAGTAACCAGTGAAGTTCCTTAAGTGTATTACTAATCTGACCAAACTTATGTAGACCACCACACGCGCAGCTGCATTATGAGAATTTTGCAGCTGATCGATTTCGTATTTAGGTAAAAATCGAGTTTAGAACTAATAAAGGAGTGAACAAAATCTTCAGTTGCTTCAGTTTTGCTAATTACGAATTGTTGAAATAAATATGTAGAATGGTTTTATTTAACACGTGAAAGATTCAAACTTAGCCATAAGTTTTAAATTTTTTACTGAGTTCCATTCCACTACACTGGTTTGGATATTTAAAAAACACTTTCTTTCAAGAATAGGATCAAATGACAAAATAAGCGACATAAATTCGTTTAGAAATATGTTTAAATGGTTATTTGTTTTTCTCTAACTTTCTCAGTGAAGTTCTCGGTCTCTCCATTATGAATTAACCCACGCGATTGAAGCCACAAGATGGGTATATAAGTTGTGTGACCAGTAGTTTTAATTTGGTCTATGCACCACGTCTTGTGATATATTAATCTTCACACAGACTCCAAAAGAAATTGCCAAATCTTCAATTTGATAAAAAATTGCGATTTCTTTCGTATTTCGCATCCAAAATTTATCATTTTGATAGGGATCCCTCCAGTAATGACATGAAGAGGGTTTTTTCGTGATTGWTCCCAAATTTGAACACAAAAGTTTGATCTATAATCACAAAAACTCGTAAAACGTGTTTTCATCCCCAATCCCATAAATAATCGCTTGATGATTGAATTTATTCATACGATCCTGATCCCTCTTCTGTGAACCCTGATTAGTAGTATGTGATCCTGATCCCTCTTCTGTGAACCCTGATTAGTAGTATGTGATCC